ATTTTGTGCTTTCTCTTCCAACTCTTGCTCCTTGAGTCGTACAAATGTTTCCGTTAGTTGCACCAAGTCCTGGTTTATCTCTTTTGCCAGTGATTCAGTTTCTTCCAAAAATAACTCTATCTTGGGATCTGTGTGGCCTTTGTATGTTGACTTGGTCCTAGGCTCTGAGCGGCAGGTGGGGCCTCTTGGGTATGGTAAATGTCTGCGACGTACTGGGGGTAGGGAACGGCTAAGGGTAGATTTTCTCCTTACTTCTGGGGTTTTATCCCATCCGTCATAGTCACCGCTGTAATCATACTCTCCCTGCTGTGTGCTACTCATTTCTTTTTCTGTTTCTTCCTCTTCTTCTAAAGCTAATTTAAGTTGCCCTGTAATCTTTCCCCTGCTGCCTGACTTTATCACAACTGGGTACTGACCTGCTGCACTAGGGTGATAAGGTGGTGGTTTATGATCAGTGTAATCAGGGGCTGTTGGGCTCTTTTGGTGTTCTACTTTGAAATATTGCAGGATGTCTCTCTGTTCAGCATGCCTCTGTTTTTTATGCAAAAGCATCCGGTCCCGTTTTTTATCTTTATTTCTCAATCTTTCTTCAACTTCATCACAGCATGAAGGATCAAAGCTGCCTTCTTTAGGCCAACGATTTTTCCCAGATGTCATCTTATGCCATTTGGTCATGCATTTTTGAATTTTACGTTTATTGGATGGGTGTGTCAATATTACCAATTTGGCTGGCGTCAGCCCGTCAGACTGTTGTTTGCTCATATTGATTCCCATGGCTACTAGCAGTCACTCAACCGTCAGGTCCGTGCTTATTCACCAGTCTTTGTAATCCTCAGTTAATTTTTATCTTAACTGGTTCTGCTCTCTTCAATACAGATCGTGTTTATTTTCTTTTAGTTTCTTTCTAGTTAATTTACTTCCTAAATTTAGATCTTTTCAATTTTGAGATAAAATCTTTAATAAAACAAATTTGTAATGTTATTTTGCACTTTCACTAATTCTATACTTTATATATTTTACTTTATGTAGACTATAGTTTGTAATAATATATACTTATAATATCTTTATCTTATAAAGCTTCCAATTTCTTCCAATCTTATTTAGGAATTTTGTTAATTTATTTCATTCTCATAACTCTTGTGTTTTTTCAGTTATCAATTTTGTTTTCCAATCCTTATTAATTTTCAGGTTATTCTTTTTAACTATATTCTGTACTAATTACTTCTATTAATTTATTATTATATCTTTAAGCTTTATCTATATTATAATCTTTATTTATTAATATCACCCACCCCTTACTTCCCCTCAGTTACTCAACTCTTTCACTCTACACACTAACACAGACACACAAGACAAATGATTATATATATATTTACAGTGCACTTCTTCCTTCCTCACTGTTTCCTACAGTGGCATCTACGTTTTTCCCTGCTGCCCCGGCTGCACCCAGATAACTGGAAATGCATAGACGTCCTCCGGATGGTCGAGCGGTACTATTCTCCGATTATCGCTTAACCGGTAATATTCTGGCTATCCCTTAGCCTGGCTATCGCTTAGCCTCTCAATACCTTTTCCTCACTGTTTCCTACAGTGGCACATATTCCAATACCTTAATACTACTTAAGCCGTCTCGTGGAGCACCCTGACTACCTTAGTCACTGATACCCTCACGTAACACGCGTACACTATTGGTTCCGGATTTATGGCTTCCACAGACTATGTATCAATCTGTCCCTTTACCAATCATCCGCTCAGAACAACCCGTGTTAAGCTTAACTTATTTACAAAATAATTTAAACACAGAACAGTTTAACACAAACATTAATAACACTTAAAACATACATTCATACATACCTGGACCCTTCCTCAGCTTAATCTGCCTTTATATACTCTTATATAAATTCTTATCAAATTTGGAAATTACTTTATTAAATTTGGAAAACTAGGTTCTTTTTAGGAGAGCTTTGTGACGCCTGACACTCACAAGCAGTAGCCGGAGGCCGGTTCCCCACTAATTTAGAAAATTAAAACGAATTGACTCACCTTTAATGGTGAATTATGGGCCCTTGGGGTTCCACGCTCTCCAGCTGGTGCCTGCAGATCGTCCGACGTCCCCTTTTTGCTTTCCTCCTGCAGCTGGCTCGCCAATTATGTCGTCTATAATTCTCTTCTTGACGACTTAAAATTGAAGCTAAGTTTTATAAAAATTCAAAGTTCTTAAAAAGCAGAAAAAGTCTCAAACAAAGATCAAAAAATTTAGGCAGAGGCAGCTGAGTCCGGGTCCAGTGTGTTTATTGCTAAACACAACACATTCACACTGAGCTGGTCACCGGTGAGCCGAAGCTGAACAAATGGTGAACACAGCTCCCTTTTATACATTTCTTATCGGTGGAAAACCCCCTTCAGAACATATTTCAGTCTTTGGTAAAGGTCACATTGATATTTATCTGCAAAACACGGTGACATTCATAGACACATCTCATTCTTGTGAGAGCAATCTCTCAGGCCATGAAAACATCTGGTGCATTCAAATCAGAAACTTATGACGGTTTAGTCACAAACATGTCAGAACACATCTTTCCCTTGCTTCAAGCCATGTCAGTCTGGCCTACTGCTCCCCCCTCGTGTCTTAGTCAAAGCATCACCCTTTCTGGGACCATTACCGCTCCGTGTGCCTTGAAAATAACAACTCTTTTTGTATGGCCAAATTTTGCTGAGCTGGGCAACCTTGAGATGTCAAATATTTCATTTTTATTGAGTGTGCTTTCTTATCACTAAGGGGCCTCAACCCTGCGTTGTCCTGCAGATTCCACTCCTTTTGGACCAGGTGCACACTCACTGCTCTGTTTTTCTCCTTTTTGGCCTTGAATGGCTCTCACTGCTCTGTTTTTCTCATTTTGGCCTTGAATTGCTCTTATAACAGTATTTGGGAAAACAACTTTAAACTTATAAAACATTAACTTTATTTTATCTTATGATTAGTGCAGATTAATACACAACATTTACATATTGATTTAACTATACAGGTGCTGGTCATAAAATTAGAATATCATGAAAAAGTAGATTGATTTCAGTAATTCCATTTAAAAAGTGAAACTTGTATATTATATTCATACATTACATACAAACTCATATATTTCAGATGTTTATTTTGTTTAATTTTGATGATTACAAATGACAACAAATGAAAATCTCAAATTCATCATATCAGAAAATTAGAATATTGTGAAAAGGTTCAAAATTGATGGCCCCTGGTGCCACACTCTAATCAGCTAATTAACTCAAACCACCTGCAAAAGCCTTTAAATGGTCTTTCAGTCTAGTTCTATAGGCTACACAATCATGGGGAAGACTGCTGACTTGACAGTTGTCCAAAAGACGACCATCGACACCTTGCACAAGGAGGGCAAGACACAAAAGGTCATCGCTAAAGAGGCTGGCTGTTCACAGAGCTCAGTGTCCAAGCACATTAATAGAGAGGCGAAGGGAAGGAAAAGATGTGGTCGAAAAAAGTGTACAAGCAAGAGAGATAACCGCACCCTGGAGAGGATTGTGAAACAAAACCCCTTCAAAAATGTGGGGGAGATTCACAAAGAGTGGACTGCAGCTGGAGTGAGTGCTTCAAGAACCACCACACACAGACGTATGAAAGACATGGGTTTCTGCTGTCGCATTCCTTGTGTCAAGCCACTCTTGAACCACAGACAGCGTCAGAAGCGTCTAAAGAGAAACAGGACTGCACTGCTGGTGAGTGGTCCAAAGTCATGTTCTCTGATGAAAGTAAATTTTGCATTTCCTTTGGAAATCAAGGTCCCAGAGTCTGGAGGAAAAGAAGAGAGGCACTTCATCCACGTTGCTTGAAGTCCAGTGTAAAGTTTCCACAGTCAGTGATGGTTTGGGGTGCCATGTCATCTGCTGGTGTTGGTCCATTGTGTTTTCTGAGGTCCAGGGTCAACGCAGCCACATACCAGGAAGTTTTAGAGCACTTCATGCTTCCTGCAGCTGACCAACTTTTTGGAGATGCAGATTTCATTTTCCAACAGGACTTGGCACCTGCACACAGTGCCAAAGCTACCAGTACCTGGTTGAAGGACCATGGTATCCCTGTTCTTAATTGGCCAGCAAACTCTCCTGACCTTAACCCCATAGAAAATCTATGGGGTATTGTGAAGAAGAAGATGCAATACACCAGACCCAACAATTCAGAAGAGCTAAAAGCCACTATTAGAGCAACCTGGGCTATCATAACACCTGAGCAGTGCCACAGACTGATCGACTCCATGCCACGCCGCATTGCTGCAGTAATACAGGCCAAAGGAGGCCCAACTAAATACTGAGTGCTGTACATGCTCATACTTTTCATGTTCATACTTTTCAGTTGGCCAACATTTCTATAAATCCTTTGTTTTTATTGGTCTTCAGTAATATTCTAATTTTCTGATATGATGAATTTGAGATTTTCATTTGTTGTCATTTGTAATCATCAAAATTAAACAAAATAAACATCTGAAATATATGAGTTTGTATGTAATGTATGAATATAATATACAAGTTTCACTTTTTAAATGGAATTACTGAAATCAATCTACTTTTTCATGATATTCTAATTTTATGACCAGCACCTGTAGATCTCCCATGATTTGTGGCATCAAAAAAACCTTTTAGTGTTGAGAAACACTAAAGGTTAGCTGATAGTGGGTAAATTTATCTAGAGTGTGATTTCTTTACAAAAATAACAGTAATAATAGTGGAGGAAATCCCGATATTTGAGATATGTAAAGAATCCATACACCAGTATCACATTGATGAACCTGCAGTTCATGCTCAGTTGTACTGGAAAACAGCAGTAGATGAAAGCAGCTTCAGCTCAGATTCATTCCTCCTGCTGGGCGCCGCGTTCTCAGTGCTGGACACTGCGATCAGAGATTCTTTTTTCCAACTTATCCTCCTGATTTCCTTCTAATGTACAGAAATGCGGCTTTAAAGAGTAAACAGCTCACTCAATATCAAAATAATCTTTATTGGAAGTATCTAAACATTGCAACAGAAACATTTAATTTTGAAAAATAACACAGCAGGGTTACAATTACAATCTTTTATCAAACACAGGGTATTGTTCAAACACATTTCTGAGAAATTTGATAGTTGTTATCCTGGTATGGTATCTGACCAATGATGAAAGTGGTGGTTATCAAGTAGTTCTGGTGTGGTTAAGGCACGTTTTGGGTCTGAAATATTTGATAAAAAATATTTATACAATTAAATCCTGTCCTATAAACCTGCAGACCTTTTTTTCCTTGTATCATTTACATCATTTAAGCAGGATTCTTTACAGCTGAAAAGTTTTAATCCTTTTAATATCCAGCATACGGTATATACACAACTGTAAAAATAGGAAAATCTTAGAAGCACGTCCACAAAGATTAAAGAACACAGAAAAAAAACAAATATTAAGTTTCAGTAAAAACCAGTATACTGGATAAGAGGAGCGTCCACAAAAAAGATGTTAAGTACATGAGTATCAAACCAAGTGCTTTCTGTAGATACCTGTCAGCTCATCCCCGAGACTTTGGTTTAAAAAAAAAAAAACAGATCAACCAAAAGTTAAAAAACCTTTTAGTTTCAAGGATGAACTGAATGTCATCTACGCCGAAGGGAAAGTGCGGCAGAGGAATGGCAAGAAAAAAAAACTGTGGTTGAGGGTAAACCTGACCAGAAATGATTCTGTACATGTCAACATTGTTTCCATGTCGACTGATGCTTTTATTAAAGACACTCAAATAAAAAACCTTACAAAACTGCAATATCAGCAGGTTTTCATCTGTGTCAGAGATAATAATCCTTCCTTCAAACATGTTCAATGAAGTCTGTGTGAAACATGTCTCAGAAGACAGACATCTCACCTGGTCCGAGTCGCCACAACACTGCACCCCTAAAAGACCTCCCGGACATTAGTCCTGCTTCACCTCCTCTGAGACCACAGGCAGAACCACATGGGAGATTCGGCTCCACAGACCTCCAAACTTGTTGTTGTCCATTTCATTGAAGCTGGCGTCGCTTGTGGAGCCCACCAGCTTGGTCTGAACATAGTTCAGGACTGTCTCCTCTACATCCTTCAGGCTCAGGTCGCTGCTGATCTCATCTTGAGGAAGCAGCACTGTAAGCAATATGAACACCTGCTTGTAGGCAGCCGTTTCGTGGTCACAGTAACGGTATAAAATGAGGGTGGAGCCTGGAGGCAGCTCCTCAAAGCGATGAATGATCGCCGCTGGTTTATCTCCCTCAAAAGCTGCCTTCAGCTGGTTGTCGATGTCCAGCTTTACCTCATCGCCTCCCTGGCCAGCTTTACTCGCCCCGTCAATGAAGAGCACTGAACCATTGAGGGCGAACGAGTAGGTAGAGGCCAGGTCCTGAGCCAGTGACCTCAGAGTCCCCTCTGCTTTGCGGCCTGCAGCAAGGACCAGACTTACTGGCTCTGTTGGGTCCGCTGTTCCAAGGTGCTTCTCCAAATGGATCTTGGTTCTCTTCCACAGCTCAGCGCGCTGACTTGGAAACTGCGACTGGAGAAGTGTCAGGCGGTGGGAAAACTCACCTGGCATCACTTCTCTGGATCGCTGCCCTCTTCCTCCAGCTATTTTACTTTGGAGCACAGGGAGAAACCTGTAAACCAGCAGGGCGACGGAGCTGAGCAGCACCACGAAAACCAAGCGCCATAAGTACCAACCAAAACCTGCAAACACAGGAGCATGTTTTTAATTAACAGAAGCAAATTGGTAAGAAATACAAGCACAGGGAAAATGTTAATAAGTTGTTACCTCTACAGGACTTTCCAGAACTTTTCTTGGTCTCTGCACTTTTCTTTGTTGCATCTAAGTAGAAACATTTGGTGTCAGTCTGAAAAACATTGTCCTGTCATGAGATAATCCTCTTTTTTTATTTAAGATAAGATACCTGTTTTTTTCAGATGATTGGCTTCTTTTTGTGCTGCAATGTTGTTTACAAAAGGTCTTCCTGTGCGCATTTTCTCTGAGGCTTGATAAGCATTTTGGGGCATTTGTACAGTTCTTCGTACGTCCAAAGATGACGAGGCTTTGTTTTTCACACAAAAAAAAAACACATTAACATGTACTTATAGAGACTTTGTTGTCTTAAACTGACCTATAGAAAAAACTGTCATACCTGCACTCCTTGCTTTAGCCTCCATTTTTCTCTTATACTCATCCATGCTGGACTTCAGGTTGTCAGGTCTCTTCTCTGATTGTCTGATCAGTGACAGAGCCTCTTTGGTTGATGGAGGTGCTTTTACTTCTACTTTAAATGAAAGCAAACACCAACAGGATTTTTTTTATCCCCAAGTATCATATTAACCAGATAAACAGTATATGTGGAAGAATAAACAGCCCAAACATGTTTCTCAATAAAGCATACTTGCGGTCTATTTACTACCTCTCTGGAGGGCAGTAGGTCCTGAGGATCGAGTTTAAAAAGCACTGTTATTGAGTAGTTACATTATTTTTTACATTTAAAGGTATAGTGTTGGGGTGGATCATCTAAATAAGTGGTCCTCCTAATTGTCAATCATTCTGGTGCTATGTTTACTTAAGGCCGTCCTATGTGCTCGTCCCCGTTTTCACTTACCGGTAGTGAGTATTAGCCTTGTGAGACCATCCTGATCTCGCGAGCTTTCAAGGTTTCACTCGCAAATCAGTCTGGAGACTCTCCGTTAAAGAAAATTTGGAGCCGTTCACCAAACGAACGTCCAATCAGCGTTGGCTTTGAGGCGGGTTGAGGTGTGACGAGAAGCACGACAGTTCAGTCTAAAGAACATGGCGGCTTCAGCCGATGAAACTAGCGTTAGCGTGGCTATTGAGCAAGTTTTATCGGAATAACAGAATATTTCTTCACTGAAAGAAGAGCAAAACACTGCTCTGGAGGCTTTTCTCAGAGAAAAAAGATGTTTTTTCTCTTCTCCCGACTGGTTTCAGCAAGAGTAGCCTGGCTTGTGGTTGTGTTTTCGTCGTCGCTCTGTTAGTACGTCATATGCTTCGTTGATCTGATTGGTTTATTTGGCCCTTCTATCACCAACATAGGCCAATCAGCTAACCAGTATTTTTGCCCCTTCGCAAAATTACTTCAACGGAAGGTTTCCAGATGGATATGCGGAGCAAATCCATCTGGCGGAGTCAGGTTAGGTGAGTATGACATAGTGGAAAAACTGCAAATCTTCTTTTGGAAAGTAAGCCTGTATGAGTGATGCAAACAGCAACTTTAAACAGAGTGTGCACAAGGAGAAATAGGCTCATCCATGCTCTTGCACGGGTTTGGGTACAGAGTTGTGCATGTGCATTTTTCCTTTGAAGTGGAGAGGGCAGGTCTTTTCAAAAATTCCTGGGAATCCTCCTCTAGACCTTAAACAAACACATAAGGTGTATTTGTAAAAAAAAAAAAAAAAAAAAACATACCGGTATTGCTAATACCAGACTGTTTGTTAATCAGTATCAGATCTTTAAGGAAACTGGTGGCATTGAAAGAAAATGGGTAAGTGATTTAAGTGGTAGAATCTGTTGATTTTGATATAAAACAATTTAATGAAAGAAATATTATTTAGGATTTCAAATAGAGATTCTGCTGTCAGCGCTCGATATCTCAATCCAAGGTCAGATCAAAAGTTGAGCTCCAACTATGTACATCAGCTCAACTCAGAGCTTCCTTGGCTGAGAATAAACGTAAATTTAATGCTTAGTTTTACATTTTTAAAAGATTTGAAACAATCTAAAAAAAAAAAAAAAAAAAAAAAAAAATTATTTCACAATGGAATAACAGGGTACTGTGTGAGGAATTTTTGAGAGAAGAGATTATATAATACCATTTCAAATAAGGCTGCATCATAGCAAAAAGGTGGAGAAAGTGTGGCTCTGTGAATACCTCCTCGATGCACTGTACACAAAATTATGAACCAGTTTCATCCTACTTTCTTTTACAGAGAATGAAATTACAAAAATCTTCTAACCTTTTTTGGATTTCTTTCCTTGTGACTCCTCATATGGAGGCTCTCTTCTCTGGAAGGAATTGATGAGGACAACACGAGGCGAAAGATTCACATCTCCCAAGCTGTCTGTTTTGCACAGAGAAAAAAACAGAAATATTGATTTACATAACTAATGACATACTCGGAGGAGCTTAAAAGCAATCTGTGGTAAATATGAACATTCTCAGTACATCTATAGCTTATATTCTAACTTTGTTGTATGGAGCAGCAGCTTGACCAAAGAAAACCACACAAACAGAATGGAAAACTGTTGGTATTTCACCGGTGGATCAAAATGAAAAAATAATAATAATAATCAAAATCTAAATAGCTTGAAGGATTTATTTCAGTGTTTTGATCTGTCAAGGTAAGATTAAAACAATCTTAAAGGTGATAGCTACAAGTTTAACTCCTCACGAGTGGTAAGTGGCACTCGCCCGCTCTCGTTGCCTGCTGTTTGCCATCCATTTGCTAAGTCTGCTAATGCTAACATTTAACTCTCCTGTCCAGAATAAAAGCAGGAACCTCTGAATGGCTTCTGAGTCCATTTTCTTCCTTAAACTAGCATCAATGATTAAACCATAGCTGCTGTTCATCTTCATTTTGCTTCCTTTTTTTGGCATGAATCTAAGAAATTTAACGGCGATAAGTATCCATTTTTAATCTTTATTATGGAACTATTAGGATCTGATGACACCTGAGTTCTGTGACCTTAACCTACTCCTCATTATCAACTTTGGAACTGCAATCAAATGTAAGTTGTTGTTTGTTTTTTTTGGACACAATTTATTAAAAAATATTTTAATATTATTTTTTTGTAAAATTTATAATACAATTTTACTCCAGACTAAACATTCTATAGATGTATTATATTTAACATTTTTTTTTTATAATTTTGATTTAAAAAACCAAATTGTCTCTTTAACCTTTCCTTTTTGCAAGGTTTTGCAACTGAAATATTTAAAATTCACTGATGGGATGGTGTTTTATGCAACAAATGAAATGTTTTTACATATTTGCAGCCGCTACCTTTAAATATTTTTGGTTGACTGCTTTCTTTTGACGGATCCTCGGCTGTATCCATTTCCAGGTCTTGGTCGTCCTCCTCTTCATTGACTGGTTCCTGAAACTCCATGTTGTCATCATTACGTTTGTCACCATCTCCTTCCTTAGAGTTCCAGCGCTGCTTCTTTGTCGGAGACTCTGTTGCCCAAAAAAGTAAAGACCTGCTTAAGCATTGTAATACACAGTGTGTGTTGTTTCTAAACTTGAGGAAAGAATATTAACTTAAGAGCATCCTACCTTCATCATCCAAGCCATTCTCCAAACCTTTAGCACCTTTAGCTGCAGATGGAGGTTGACGTTCCATTGTTTTTCTGGTCCGTTTTAGAGGACCTCTAGGGGTTGGTTCAACACTTAGTACTGTAAAGGAAAAAAAGGCACCTCTTTTAGGTTACAAGGTACAAACATGGCCTTGCCTATGGTGACCTGTATTGTATCTAGGATCCAATTTTCCAGTACTATATTATAATACTTTAACGCATTACTCTTTTAATTTATGATTAAAGGTAATATTAATGTAAAGTAATAGAATAAAAATCCCAGACAACATGAATATCAATACTAGAGGGAACAGTGATCTTTATAGTAATTCTTAGAAGTGTAAAGTTCCCTAAATTGATTTCCCTATGATGTAAGGCTGTTGACCAGACTAGGCCTCATGTCCTCTTTTTCATCACGGGTCAATCTTTAGTATCTGCAACCATAGACAGGGTCTGTAGGACTCAAAAAGCGACATAAGTTTGGATTTTGGGATTAGTTTTGATACTGCATTAAATAACAAATACACAAGAATACTCCAAGTCCCCCCCACCAACTAGATAATTTACATACTTGTATAGTTGGCTCAACTTTACTGTTTCAATGGAAAATCTGCAAAGTGTTTACAGCAGAGCACAAAAACAGATTTGGTCACATCTTAAAAACCAGAGAAAATGAAATGCAGATGAAAGTAGATTGTGGTTAATTTATATTCCTGTTATGGATGTAACAGTAGATCTTCCTCTGTGTTATGTAAACAAAGGCTTGTTCGCCTATTTAAAAAAACAAAACAAAACAACTATCTTCAAATATTATAAGCAAAAAAAATATTACTATAATATAACTATTATTTTTCTTTTAATAAATTAATTCTGAGATACCTTTCTTTGAGAGAATATATGGATAATTGTCCAACTATCAAATAAGGTATGTCCCAGGAGGAAATTAGAATAACAATTTTTTTATTCATGCTGCACTAAATAAACACGGAAAAATTTACAAAGAAAGTGTTGGATGAATCACTATTTACATTATAGATATATTGTTTTATATTGAGTGTTTTTGCTATTCATAGCATTATAGTTATTCAGTATCAGTGTCATTTAAGTTACTAATATCGTTATTTTGCTAGTATTAGATTGAATTAGTATGGTAATGATAATAAAAATTACACTGACGAAAACAATTAGCTTCCTATAATTTCACCTATTCATAGATGATTACTGCTGGAAAACAAAACCGAAAATGAACTTAAAACAAATCAATAAAAATACACATTCAAACTATTTAACATAGAACTATTTATTATCGAGTAGATAACGTGGGGTTAAAGTAATTCTAACACATTTTATATAACTTTCAACAGCATTAGAGTTAAACAGCTAAGCTAGCTAATGAGCATCACTGTCACTTTGCTCACCTTTCATCGTATGCCTTCCCGACCGCCTTAACGTGCCCGATGCCTTGTTTTTAGCTTTGTCTGAATCCATTGCCGATCTAAAATAGAACGAGTGTCGCCGAAAATTAAAATAAAAGTTTAAACACAAAAGCAAAACATCCTGACGCAGAAAGAACGCGGCAGCAGTGCACAAACTTCCCCTTTTGGTTACTGGGGAAACGTTTTAAGTCAGGACTCTGGACCCGTTGAATTCTATAGTATTTCTCTTCCGGACTGGAAACAAGGATTATGTTGTTGGTTCCGCTCTGGAACTAAACAGTTGCGAGTGAAACTTATTAAAAGAGAAAGAAGCTACAAGATTAATAGACATGATATCGGTCGGCTATTTTCCATAAGCTGGTAATCGTGGATAGTATATATTTACCATGAATATATATATTTTAATAAGATAATGGATTTTCTGCTACGTTAAGGCTTTCTGATAACTGACGAAATCAACTAGCTTGGCTAACATTAGCTAATCTTAACTCAAGCTACCTGGGTCAAATTATTTTTCTCTAATTTAACATTTTCTTAGATTCTAGCTGGCAACATTTGCCTACAGCGTTTTATCGGATGTGTGCTTTGTATAAAACCCCACGATTGAAGTTAATAACTGCACTTTTATTCGCAGTTTCTTAGCAGTTCACCTAGCTGGCCGAGAATTAGCTACCATGTATCATGTTGTAACAAACCCGAACAGCTTAAACAAAAATACTTTAATTATGTTTCGCACTAAAAATTTTCTTAATCGCTATAAATGAGCACATTTGTCAAATGCTGTATATTTTCACAGTTTCGTTAATACTTCGTTATTGCAAGCTGAAGCTTGACAGATGTCACGTTTTAAAACGTCATTGTGAACTTTAACCCTTTAATGACCAACTGTTCAAAACCACAATAATCTTCTCCTGTTATATTTGTTCATATATCCCGCAGTGAGTGAAGAGGTGCTGTCCAAAAAACATGGAAGGAGAACAGAAAGCAGACTGTCAGCAGCCAGATGGCAATGCAGAAACCTCTGTTAAACCCACAGGTATGATCTGAACTGATTTAATGTATTTCTAAGTTATTAAGTTTAGATCTCTGATTTATGCTGTAAATATTCACCTTCTTCACCTGGAAAACATATTAATGAGTCTCACTTAACTTATATGTGGATCCAATAGCTTTTATAAATTGTACAGTTTGTGTTTTTTTTAATGGGCAACTGTTTCATTTAGGAGAAGATGTCACGGAACAAAACCCATCGACTTCACAAACGTTAGGAAGCGAAAGAGAGGAAGTTGTAAATGACATTAAAGTTGGAATGAATGAAGGGTCTGCAGCCACCGACGGCACAAACAGTAATAAAGAGGAAGGTGGGTTTTATACATTTAAAACTTAATTAATTTTTTTTAAGTTTCTGGTTTGAAGTAGAAAACCTCTCTCTCCTTTTTTGTTGAGCATTTTTTTCACCCTTATCCATTTCCTCCGCTTTTAAAGAAACCCTATTGCCAAAACAGTCTAACGAAGAAATTGAGGATCATAGGATAGAATCCAAAGAGTGCTTTACAATAAAGACCACACATGAAATAAGACAGATAAAAACCTCATACAAAATGAAGCTAGATAAAAGGTAATCTAAATTAATTGCTCTTTAGTAGCTGGACAGATTTAAGATGCTACAAATAGGAAGGCAGAACAAACCACAGTCTTGGAGCCACTGCTTTATAGGACATATACATTCTGGTTTTAGAATCATTTAAAGTACCCATTACCAGCCTTTCACTAGAGGGTCTTAAAATATTTGTCAAGTTCAATTAACGTGCTGTCACAACCTGTTATAATAAAGATTAAAAACAATCTGTTCTGTTCTCCAGTACACAGTAAATACTAAGTGTCTGTTTCACTGTACAGTTGTTTTCCATAATGCTGTTATCACACATCAGTGTGCTCTCACTGATATCAAGTTCAGCTAAATACCTGTTAAAGAAGTCTGTGTACTGCTGCAAATGTGATAACGGCTAAGGTTCTGGAGGTATGTGATGGATTGTGAGAAGAAACGGTTTCACTCATGGTCAAAATAACATTCTGAATATGAAAGGTACGCAGTCTAAGAACCCTCTCCCTGTAAATATTTAATTCTCTATAAATTAATGCCGCTCCTTCTTCAATTGGATCCTCGTGCTATTATGGTGTTGCTAACATCTAATATTTCTAATGGACTTAGTGAATGTAGTGAATGGTTTCCTTTTTATTGGTCGCACAATACTCCTAATTTAGGAAATAAAACAGCATGATTGGCTTTAAGGAGAGTGGAGACAAAGGACACTTTTAGTGTATTGATGAAAACTTGCTCCCAACCAGGTTAGTTCTGGGGAGAATGTCACTACGGTAACAGAGACAGAGATTGAGTAGACTCTCTATGTGAAACGTCGGTTTCCCTGATTTCAGGTTTAGAAAACAGTCTTCACTGAACCTGCTTTGTGAAATGGGCCTCTGAAGGCCCGACCCAAGCAGAAGAGAAGGAGTGAAAATGCATTAACATGTTTACACGTGGAAGGAAAAACAAAACCTGAATTATTTGATCTGACAAATATTAATCTAATTAGTCTGCTCAGAATATGACTTAGATGGATCGTACAACTTGCTTTGTTTTCTGTTGTTGCAGAGTCAAAACCAGCAGAAGGTTCACTGAAAACAGACGTCCACAATAATGATGAAGCCGATGACAAACAAGGCGATTTCAGAGGAGAGGCACCAGAGACTGAGAAGCCAGAGGATAAAATGCCTGACAAATATCCCAGTAAAAGTATGATATAGAATCCTTTTAATGTATTTTTACAGTTAGAAAGATCAAACTGTCTCTGCTTCTATTTGTTTTTTTTGTTTTTTTTATTGACAAGCTTTGAGTCCTTTTTGTTTCAGCGTAAAAGTTCCTGGGAGGCCTTAAGTCTAGATTCATTCAAGCATTTTTTTAGAGTCTCTATACTCCATTTAACAATCAATAAATTACTAAAATAGTTGACGTTTATTACAATAATTGATTAATCTGATTAATATTTTTTAGCCCTGGATGCAGTATACTTATGATCTGTGTTCTCAAATAATGCAGAAAACAATTATTTCACTTGGATTGGAGTCTTTACATTTACTAGAGCACAATATTTTACTATGAAATCATTATTTTATATCTCAAATCTGACAGTAAAGAAGTTATTATGCAAAAACAAGTTCCACTTGATTGTAGTCCAGATGGAGATTTAAGAGTATTTAAGAAATCTAAGTTCTTTGGTATGCACTAAACATATGCCTAAATTTTTTTCACTTGTAAAAAAAGAAATGTGCTTAATTTTGTTTTGGACAGTAACAGCCACACCTGCAGACGGGGAGAGTCCAAAGACCTTAGATAATGAGGAGACACCAGGAGGTGGGTGTCAGGAAATTCAACCTAAATGCCTTTGATCAGATTTGGATCAGAAAAGAGGATTTTTTTTTTTTATAAAAAATTAATAAAGAAAGAAAAGATTAACTTTCTTTGTCCTTATAAATTTAAACAAGTGGTCAAAATATAACCCTTGTTGTTATTTTTTGTTTTGCAGATGAAGATTTAGCTAAAGGTGATAGCTTACTGACTATGGACAAGAACTCCTGTCAACAAGCTATTGAGGAAAGGCAGGACAATTCCACAGGAGACTCATTAAAGCAGGAGGTTTCTACTGGTAATTGTCTCTTGCTTCACTCTAAGTGTTACCATATGTCCATATTTCTCAGTACTCCATTTTCTAATAATCTCTCTATAAAAACCTAGTGTTTAAAAATGTTTGTATGAAAATGTATATTATCTCTGTTAATATTAAACTCTTCTATCTATAGTCTGCTCAGGTTTAAAGTCTCAGGAGGACCCTTCAAAAGAAGAAAAAGAAGAAGAGAACGAGCTGATAAAAAAGGATGTAAAAACCATTTGTTCTGCAGCAACACAGGCTGATCCTGCACAAGACACTGGAGCCCTTGGAGGTAGTCTTCTGATTGTTTAATGATTTTGCTTTAATTTTAAATATTACTTGTTTTGTTTTGTTTTTTTGTTTTTTTTATTAACAAGCTTTTGAGTCCTTTATGTTCGAGCGTAACAGTTCCTGGAAGGCCTTAAGTCTAGATTCAGAGATTCTAATATTTGTCCTTTAAAAGCCTTTACAAAGTCAGAAACTGCATTTGAAAGTTTGTCCTTCATTGATGCTCTGGATTTGATTTAGAAATTATTTTGCAGCATTGATTTATTCTTTTATTTTTAGCTTTGCAACATCAGTAGACTTTGATCAAAAGCTTCACAAAATTGATTGATGCCTCTTGGCAGCAGAAAGTAAAAGTCGCAGTTAGGGCTGCATGTAACGATTATTTTGCAAATCGATTAGTCTGTAGATTATTATTTCGATTAATAATCAGACAACCAAAGGTTCCTTAAAGGAGATTTTTTTTTTTTTTTACTAAATTAAACCAGGTGAAATTAAAATGTTTCCTCTTGAGTTCTGTAAGAACATATTCACAAAGTTTTCTTTTTTTTTATCTTGAATGCAAAAGTTTACAGATCTTTTTTACAATTTTGATATAATTGCTGCTCTAAGTCGGTTTCTCTGTCAGCTTAAAGCATTTTTTAGAGTCTCTATACTCCATTTAACAATCAATCAATTACTAAAATAGTTGACGATTATTTCAATAATTGATTAATCCGATTAATATTTTTTAGCCCTGGATGCAGTATATTTATGATCTGTGTTCTCAAATGATGCAGAAAGCAACTATTTCACTTGGATTGGAGTCTTTACATTTACTTGAGCACAATGTTTTACTATAAAATCATTATTTTAGATCTCAAATCTGACAGTAAAGAAGTTATGATGTAAAACAAAAGAGACTCATTAAAGCAGGAGGAATCTACTGGTAATTGTCTCTTGCTTCACTTGCTGCGGATTTGATTTAGAAATTATTTTGCAGCATTGATTTATTCTTTTATTTTTAGCTTTGCAGCATCAGTAGACTTTGATCAAAAGCTTCACAAAATTAATTGATGCCTCTTGGCTTAGGGCTGCATCTAACGATTATTTATTTTGTAAATCCATTAAGCTGTAGATTATTATTTCGAATAATAATCGGACAACCAAAGGTTCCTTAAAGGAGTTTTTTTTTTTTTTTTTACTAAATTAAACCAGGTGAAACTAAAATGTTTCGTCTTGAGAAGTTCTGGATAGAATATATTGACAGAGAAATTTTATTTTTTTGTATCTTAAATGCAAAATGTTTACAGATTTTTTTTACAATTTTGATATAATTGCTGCTCTAAAATATAACCTTTGTTGTTATTTTTTGTTTTGCAGATGTAGATTTAGCTAAAGGTGATAGCTTACTGACTATGGACAAGAACTCCTGTCAATCAGTTATTGATGAAAGTCAGGACAATTCCACAGGAGACTTATTAAAGGAGGAGGAATCAACTGGTAATCGTCTGTTACTTCACTCCAATTGTTACAATATGTCCATATTTCTCACAGTACTCTATTTCTATAAAGCTCTCTATAAAAACAGACTGTTTAAAAATGTGTTGTCTCTGTTTTTATTCATCACTCTACTTCTATTGTCTGGTCAGATGGTAGAAGAACCTCACACATGTCTCAGGAGGAACCAGGACGAAATGCAGATATAGAAACCATTGGTCCCATTACACAGGCTGAACCTTCAGCTGACACTGGAACCATTGGAGGTAAACAATGATGGTATCCTATAGCCAGTGTATTTTGATAACTTGTTTTGTTATATACGTTTTAAAAAAAATAACAGTCTTATAAAATACATTTTTAGATAATTCCAACCTTCTTTTCACAGGAGGTTTGAAATTATTGATGTCGGTGGCTCTAGTTTCTCTTGTTGCCATCTTGGTACAGCATCTCCTCCAACCTAAACCCACAATTCAGAAGAAGGATTTGCCAAAAGTGGACATCTTCCTTAAGCAGATGGAGAAAGTAAAGACGAGGTTTCCTAATCAGCGAGCCGAGCTGTGGAGCAGGAGTGTGATCCACCTGAAGAGGCACCTCCAGACCAGCCAGCCCACAGAGCCGGTTAGCCTGATCCTGACGTCAGGTTTTAGAGCTGAGAACACCATGCGCTGCCTGGCTCAGGACGTGGCCTCTGCCTTTTCCGCCGCCCTCAACGCCTCCGTCCTCCACATTGACGGGGCCAGTACAGCCAGCCAAGACAGCGACCAGGTCAAACTGGACATTGACAGGAAGCTGCAGGGAGCTTTTGAAGGAGACAAACCTGTAGCCGTGATCCACCGCCTGGAGGAGCTGCCTCCGGGCTCCACGCTCATTTTCTACCGCTACTGTGATCACGAGACTGCTGCCTACAAGAACACCCTTCTGATCTTTACAGTGCTGCTGGGCGAGGAAGAAGAGATCCCAGCTGAGATGCGTTTGAGCATCGTGGAGGAGATGGTGGACGACTACCTGAAAAAGAGGTTTCTTTCTCATGGCCAGCCAGTGTCTTTCGACAGGATGGATCTCAACAAATATGGTGGACTGTGGAGCCGCATCTCTCACCTCATCCTTCCGGTGGTGGTAGAGGAAAGAATAGAGCATAAAGGATGCTAAAGCCTCAGTCAGTGCAGACATCTGAGAAATATACCCTGCTGCTCTTAACATTGGTTTTAAAGATCCAAATGTTTCTTAAAACGATTTTATTGACCCCCAGTCAAACGTCAAGAGTCGTTAGGAGGTTGGACATCTGTGAGAATTGTACATTTTATGAAGACGTTTGTGACAAAAAGGCTATTGCACTTTAATATTTTAATTCTTTAATTAAATTATCAGTGGATTGGAAAATGTAGATTGGGCGTTAAAATGGTGGGATTTTAAAAACACTCGATGTAAGACTCAATTCATCTTTGCAGAACTGTTTGTTGGCTGAATGGCACTATGTGCCTTAAATTAAGCCTCTTACTTTTTGTATATACACTATATTGCCAAAAGTATTTGCTCACCCATCCAAATTATTGGAATCAGGTGTTCCAATCACTTCCATGGCCACAGGTGTATAAATTCAAGCACCTAGGCATGCAGACTGTTTTTACAAACATTTGTGAAAGAACGGGTCGCTCTCAGGAGCTCAGTGAATTCCAGCGTGGAACTGTGATAGGATGCCACCTGTGCAACAAATCCAGTCGTGAAATTTCCTCGCTCCTAAATATTCCACAGTCAACTGTCAGCTGTATTATAAGAAAATGGAAGTGTTTGGGAACGACAGCAACTCAGCCACGAAGTGGTAGGCCACGTAAACTGACGGAGCGGGGTCAGCGGATGCTGACGCGCATAGTGCGAAGAGGTCGCCAACTTTCTGCAGAGTCAATCACTACAGACCTCCAAACTTCATGTGGCCTTCAGATTAGCTATAGAACAGTGCGCAGAGAGCTTCATGGAATGGGTTTCCATGGTCGAGCAGCTGCATCCAAGCCATACATCACCAAGTGCAATGCAAAGCGTCGGATGCGGTGGTGTAAAGCACGCCGCCACTGGACTCTAGAGCAGTGGAGACGCGTTCTCTGGAGTGACGAATCGCGCTTCTCCATCTGGCAATCTGATGGACGGGTCTGGGTTTGGCGGTTGCCAGGAGAACGGTACTTGTCTGACTGCATTGTGCCAAGTGTAAAGTTTGGTGGAGGGGGGATTATGGTGTGGGGTTGTTTTTCAGGAGCTGGGCTTGGCCCCTTAGTTCCAGTGAAAGGAACTCTGAATGCTTCAGCATACCAAGACATTTTGGACAATTCCATGCTCCCAACTTTGTGGGAACAGTTTGGAGCTGGCCCCTTCCTCTTCCAACATGACTGTGCACCAGTGCACAAAGCAAGGTCCATAAAGACATGGATGACAGAGTCTGGTGTGGATGAACTTGACTGGCCTGCACAGAGTCCTGACCTCAACCCGATAGAACACCTTTGGGATGAATTAGAGCGGAGACTGAGAGCCAGGCCTTCTCGTCCAACATCAGTGTGCGACCTCACAAATGCGCTTCTGGAAGAATGGTCAAAAATTCCCATAAACACACTCCTAAACCTTGTGGACAGCCTTCCCAGAAGAGTTGAAGCTGTTCTAGCTGCAAAGGGTGGACCGACGTCATATTGAACCCTATGGATTAGGAACGGGATGTCACTTAAGCTCATATGTGAGTCAAGGCAGGTGAGCAAATACTTTTGGCAATATAGTGTATATTTTGGGCTATTCTGGATAAAAACATTTATTCAATGTGCCTTAAAACAATTAAATCATATTTGAAATGTAAAGAGCTGGTTTTATTGTCTCAGAGGGGGACTGCACCAGAGGCAGGGTGCCTGTGAAGACTTGGAAGCTCTGGGATTTTTAAGGATTTTCCAGATTAAAAGGATAGAAAAAATAATTTGCATTTTTTGTTATTTGACCATGATTCAATTTTGTTTAGACCAGGGGTGGGCAATTCCAGTTCAAGAGTGCTGGTATCCTGTAACTTTTAGATTCCCCTCGGTCCAACAACCTGAACCAATGATCTTAGTTACCTCCTCAGTTTGCAGTCAGTTCCTCCAATTATCTAATTGCTTGATTCAGGTCTGTTGAACCAAAGACACATCTGAAAGTTCCAGGATACCAGCCCTCGGACCCAGAATTCACTGGCATAATTTTCTGAAGGACAGGTGTGGACATGTCCCCCACAAACTTTTCCATGGAGGGGACAGTCCCCTAACCTGACAACAGCCAGATGCATGTCTCGCTCCGCCCAGCTCCACTCACATACATCTGGGAACCCGCTCATTGAAAGTGATTTCCCCAACCGAAGTTATGGTCTGTCCAATCAGGACGCAGGGTGGGTGTGTCCTGGAGTGGAGAAGCGACCGTGAGATTCCAACAACAATGGCGGCTCGCATTGAGGAAGCAAGCGTTAGCATTGATGCTGCTATTTCTTCTGTGTTGTCCAATCTATCTGATATTGTTTCATCAAAAGAACATCAGAGAACGGCTTTGAAGGCTTTTGTTGGTGGAAACGATGTTTTCGCCCTTCTCCCGACCAGATTTGGCAAGAGCTTGATCTACCAAATGGCTCCTCCTCTCACAGCGTCACGGGTTAGCTTCGGTGTGAGTGGTTGAAATAGCACGTCAATAAAGATGACAGACAAGTGGCTTATCCAATCATATGCAAGGAGTTTTGATAAGGCCCAGCCTTCAGTAAAGGCAATTCCTATGGCGGGTTCCCAGATGTATGTGAGTGGAGCTAGGCGGAGCGAGACATGCATCTGGCTGTTGTCAGGTTAACAGTCCCCACCTAAAGTTTACACTTTTTTCCCCTTTCTGCTGATTTATTTCAGCCAACAATAACTGGGAATCCGATCTGTCATTTTAGGACATGATATTATCTGGAGTCTTATTTCACTGCGGACATAGTAGCTTTTTCAGAGTGTACATTTCTATAAGTTAAAAAAGCTGGGCTTCTTAGAGGACCATTACTCAGAGTTACAGATTAAAATTACCACATATCTATTGTTTTCTTATTGAACAGAGAATCTGACTGCAGAGCTTTAGATATCTTGAAAATGATTTTCTCTGTCGTCATTATATTGGTAGACAGGTTCATAAATCTGATTTTAAGCAGAGCAGATACACAATTAGGGAGAGCTACAGATTTAAAGGTGAAACACATTTACTGGGATATGCAACATGCAATAAAATATATCTCCAAGTTTACAAGAAAAAATATGCAATGCTATAATAAAATTCAACATATCTTTTTGTCTTTTGTAGTTCAGCATCCCAGAGACAGCAAGATTCACAGGAAACAGACGTAAAATTAAAGTATAAGAAACCTACAAGAATTAAAGCACGAGTAATACAAATCAGTGTATAAATGATTTTTGAAATATAAGGTTCAATGCAGAGACTTTGGCTGTCAACGACATATGGGTCAAATTTCTAAATTTAATTTTGCTGCTTGTAAAGGAGGATAATCACTGATGCAGCTTAAGGGGAAGCCATGCATGGATGGATGAATAGATGGAATTGAAGTTGTATCCATACTAGGGACGCATGATATATTGATGTTGGCATCGGATATTGGCTGTTATTTGTCATTTTTTATACATTGATGTTTTTGATCCCTTTATAAATAAATCGCTAAAGGCAGGCATCTGTCTATAACTTTAAATATCAGTGTATTGTGATACTCTTGTGTTCTCAACAATAGGAAAGCATTCAATAAATATATGTTTGAGCTCATTTTTGGAAAATTTAAATCCTATTGAAAGCGTTCGGGTTGAATAGCTGTAGGTCTATCAGCCACTATCCTTACAGCGTCCCCACTAACTTTTATCACAAAGTTACACCCTTGCCAGAACCATTTCCTGAACCATTTTCAAGAACTCAAACTTTGAATGTGAGAATATAATTTCCCTCTTGTATTAAAATCAGCTATCTCATAATATACTCTTCTCCATCAGATATGTGTTTCTGCACTCAGATTTAATACATCTCATACATTCTAGCTTTTTCTCCCCACACAAAAAAACGTCCTCTCCGCTCCAGTCAAAAACGCCCTTACATCCCTGATCCATCCACTGCTATTCCCTTTAGATTTTTCACAAATCTTGGATAAGCAAGATCTTATCCATAGCTATTTAGCAGCTCTACATAGCAGTGATTTTATTCACATTTGTAATTATTTCCACTAGGGCTTAAAAATTAGTCGTATTAATCAATTATTACAATAATTTTTAACTAATTTAATAATCGAATAATCGTTAATTGGAGTATAGTGACTCTAAAGCAAAACTGTATAAAAATATTGTGCATTTAAAATAAAAAAATATGTGTGTATATTATATATATATATATATATATATATATATATATATATATATATATATATATATATATATATATATATATATATATATATATATATATATATATATATATATATATATATATATACACACACACACATCTGTCAAAATGCTCTATCCAGAACTCTTCAGGTGGAAAAGTTTGAGTTTCCCTTGGTTTAATTTAATAAAAAGTCTTCTTTAAAGAACCTTTGGCTATCTGATTATTAATCGATTTATCGGAAAAGTAATCGACAGATTAATCGATTTGTAAAATAATCGTTAGTTGCAGCCCTAATTTCCAGTTTGATCTGTGAACCATCACTGCTACCAGTTTGAAAAGGTGCGGCAGTGCACATAGAAGCCAGTAGGGGGCAGCACAACTACAGCTGGAACCTGTGAAAGTATCAAAATAGGATGATTCAAGACAAAATCTGAATTAATCTAAACTTATTTATCGATTTTACAAGGTCAGACTCAGATATATTTTGTTTGTAGATGTTTAGTTGCAGAAAATGTCTCCTTGCAATGAAAAAAAAACATCTTCCTCACATTCAAAGAAACACCGCCTCCTGTCAGCTCCCCTGCAGCTGGAGCTGTTTTGTAGCCTCATATCTTTCATTCATTGTGGCTGTGAAAGAGGACTTAGAGAAGGGATGGATCTTTATCCTGATGGCGTTTGTTGATGCTGATCCTCTGAAGCTTCTTTATTTATTTTTATCATCATAATTAGGCTCTTTTTTATTATTATTAGTGGGTTTCTTCCTTCTTTGGAGTTAATTTCATGTCTCACTTTTACACACTCGCATCTGCATAACTTTAGTTTGGGCTCTGGGACGCTCACAGCATGTATAAGTTATGCATTTTGGTGGTGATGTGCTGCGCTTTCACCTCTTGGTGCTTCGTGGTGCCAAAGTGCACCAGTGCAGATCCAAAGGAATCAGAGGCAAAGACTGGGATTGAAAGCAGTGCAGAAGAAAGGCTGCAAGAAGAGATGGATGGTCAGGAAGAAATCATCTCTAAGGTTGGTGCACGTAAAATAATCTATGCGTAATTCAAAGCGCAGTGGGAGAAAACCATTTTCTTCTCTTTGTAGCTGCTGGGTGATTATGACAAGGTGAAAGCCCTCTCTGAAGGCGCTGACTGTGGGTGTAAATGTGTCGTCAGACCCCTGAGCAGGAGCGCCTGCAGGCGGATTGAAGAGGGAAGCGCCACCGCGCAGGACTTCTACACCGTGGAGACCATCACCTCCGGACCGGAGTGCAAATGCGCCTGCATCGCACCTCCTTCTGCGGTCAATCCATGCGAGGGAGAGTTCAGGCTGAAACAACTCAGGGAAGCTGGGGAAAAAAACATTAAGGTTAAGAGTCTCAATGTCTTTTTGTGGTCCAGGACTGTGCCTTAAAACACGCATATAGTTTTACATGTTGCCTGATGACAACTAAAAAGCCTTTTATTTGAACTTTTTCACTAAAAATGTGGATTGCTTTTATATTCAGACCCACTGAGTCAGTTCTTCTCATTGTTGTTGGAATTACATCTGGGAGACTTTAGAGTGTTTAACTCAATCATCTTCACCAACATGTTATTTTCTTCTTAACAAAATGCCAGAAGCTCTGGATACCAACATTGAACATCCACATCAAGCTTCGCCACTGATCCTCAATAACATTTAGATGTGACTGGGTCTCTCATACCTGATTGTGCTTTAGTGGAAGCATTTCTGTGGTCTTTCTGGCTCTTAGTTTAGGTTCCTCCTGTTGGAGGGTGAACATTCATCTCAGTCATACGTCTTTTTGTGGCGTTTTTGAAATGTTCTTTTCAAATTACAGTGTAGCCTATTTAGTTCCAGTTATCTTCCCATCAACTCAGCTTGGACCAGCCTCCACGAACAGCCACAGCACAATGCTGCTACTACCTTGTTTTACCATGGGGAGGGTGTATTCAGAGTGATATGCAGAATTACTTTTATAACACATGTGAACCAATATGTTCAGTTCTGATCTCATCGGATCCAGAAAACCTCTTTACACATCCTTACTGGCTGTCCCACTTGAGTTGGTTAAACTTCAAACTTGACTTCTTTCTTTAAACAATGACTTTCTTTTTACCACTATTCGGGTGAACAGTTATTCATTGTCCCATTTGGAGATTCTTGCAGCCAAGGGCGTAGGTTTGATTTGAACTCTGGTAGGGACACTATTGGTCTGGTGTCATTGGTGCTATGCAATATGCCCTTTTTTATGCTCGATGTGAGCATCCGTACTGATAAGAGGAATTCATTGTTAAAAGAGAAAAGCAACATTTTGCTCCATTAATAAAAATGTTATAAGCTCTACACTCATTAGATGCTGTTTATCAATGTTTGAAGTATCACCGGCTCTGATGAATGTGGAATTAGGATTGTTTTCCACTTTGAAAACGGTTTCATTTGAACGACTAAGAGAGAAGGTAAATATAGTATTTTCTTTTGAAGATATAGAATTGTGCAGAGTTAAACCCCACTCTAATATTTGTACCTAATATTCTCTCTCTGTATCAAGCAAAAATAATACATTCATTAAAATATTAACTTCACTATAAAAGTTGAACATCTGGGCTGTAGTTACTCTGTGTATCCCATTTCATGTATTTTACCTGGGGCTGAAAAAAATGAATCATATTAATTGATTATTTCAATAATCGTCAACTAATTTAGTAAGTGATTCATCATTAACTGGAGTATAGAGACTTTAAAACATACAGTAATATACATGTAAAATGTGCCTTTCCCCACAGAGCAACCCACTTAGATAAAAGTCTCAAGAACCAGGGATATTCATTTTTTTTTTTTTTTTACTCAAAGCTGAATCCCTTCTTAAAAGCTCACAATCTGAACTGGGAATCGGATACAGAACAGGTCTTTGTTGTCTTTATGTCTCAGCTCCCACTCCACAACACATTTGATCGAAGGATACTCGCTCTTTACTGGTAATGAAGCAAATTTGTAAAAATAAAAACAAAAAAATGAAAACAGTAATATCAACTTAATATCGGTAAAAAGGAAATCCTCACATTTTCTTTTTTAGTTGGCTGTGGCTAAGAATCAGAAATGTTGATGCTTACAGCCTTTATTTGCCCATTTTTCCAGCAGTCTTCAGAACTCCTGGCTGACTCAGAATATTTCGTTTTATAAAAGAAAAAAAAAGGTTTTTGTTTTTTAGTGTACATCATATTCATTTTTTTTTTTATTGGGACTAGTTTTGTAGCCTAATATTAACTGTAGTAACCGCTGCATTCTAGTGTGAATAAATTTTCAATGTGCTCCCAAACACACGCGGACTAGAAAACAGCCAATCAGAGAGAGAGAAGGCGGAACCTAAGGCAGAACAACCAATGAGAGTTGAGTTAAACAGCGCAGCACAGTTCCATGCGCTGCTACATGAAAGGGACAGGAGAGAGCAGGCAGAGGAGCTGCGAGAGGAAAAGAAGCCACTGCTGCAACAACTACTGCTGTAAATTATAAACATGTTGCTCACATCCAATTATTGGTAGGGACAATTAGGTCGGTTCAAAATTTTGGTAGGGACATGTCCCTATGGTCCCTATGCAAACCTACGCCCATGCTTGCAGCTAAACTATGGATCTCTACAGCTATTCTGTGGTTACAATGGGGGCTTTGGCTGTTTCAGTGATGAATGACTTCCTTGTCTGATGGAGATGTCTTGGTCAGCATTTAAATGATGGACTGAATGGGGCTTATTAAGATGTTCATCCTTGGATATGATGTTGTGTTTGGCCTTTACAAAGCAGCTGCCTTCATATAAAGATGGATTAAAAACAATCTGTGTTAGGTCTTTGTGTTTCTCCTTAATTTCAGGTTGGCAGGCTTGATGGGTTCCAGCTGTTACTCCTTGATGACAATCAGTGGTGGCCTTTATATTGGAGCAGTTTCCTGGAGCATGCTGCCAGTTGGTTCCGCTCTCTCAGTGGTAAAACAGGTCA